CATATATATATATAGTACAAAATATGAAATGCGTCTCCCAAGGGGGCGAATTTTACTTCACACTAAGATGTTCTAGAATCCATGACGAAAAAAAATCTCGTAAACTGCACACGCACGTAGATATTCATAATAGAAAATAGCAAAGATTTTTTATATCACAGACTATCACTAGAATAATTCCCTACAACGCGTCACTCGGGTATACTTAGCAACACTGTCGCATTTATTCCTATTGTTCAAAAATGAAAGATCTTACACACGCGGCATAGGTATCTTAAAACTGCGAGTACCGCAACTTTAGAAGCGTCTCTTACGTGAAGATGTGTACTTACTTTGTAATTTGCTCGATCGACTCGCTGATTTTGATTGAATTTAATCTTTAACTCCCATTTCGTCGATCCACCGATATGCGATACGTACAACTTGACAGCATACACCTGTGAATTCTTTCGTTTTGCTTGACGACCTTGATCATTATTTCGAAAAGCAATGCCCGGGCCAAGATGTATATGAAAGTGATTCTATACATATAGTATATCTCCTTATGGCAATAAACACGATAATTAAGAAGAGCTATAAATGCAAAATGTACTCTACAGTAGTTGTAACGAGTTCATCGGAATTGTGTGTGCCGTGGTACGTACATGATAAATAAGAGTATTTTCTTCCTCCTACGGTTTCGCAGGTCCAAGTTTCGACTTGTCTTATTTCTGAATGTTTTGCTCTTTTCCCTTCGTGAAGCTACTCTTCGTTTTTTCCCCATTATCAATAATAACGAAGTACAGATCTATCTATTTTCATAATCTTTAGCGGATTCTTCCTCGATTGTCGTGTAATCGTATGATCATTTGCAAACGAAGTATATATAGTATACCCGTGCTACTAGTTACATAAATTTTCATCGGCATAATAATCAAATATTATTCCTCATAATGATAATATGAAAGAAACGCAATTTTCTCGTTTCATAATACAGCTGTGTATACTCTGGTTATTCGTTCGTCTCCGTTTTATTATCATGTGATAATTAAAGAATCTCCTCTATTTCCGTGTGACGAGAATTATTTGTATAGTGTAGTGTGGTTTTAGTGGCGTTTCACTTCATGGTAAACTTCGCGGTTGCAGGCATAGACATAAAGTAGTGACGTATTTAGTCCACGACAAAACGAAATAATTAACTAGCGACATTAAAACAAAATATAATCAAATCGTCTAGAACCTTGAAAGGATTCATTTACATTCCAATGTATAACTGAAAGGACAAAGTGCCTGTCTTAGATTTGCTAACCTTGTACACAAACAAGGAATATAAACATACCGGTCTATACGTTATGTGTCTGAAAATGGCATTAGTTGCATTACGTATTAGCCATCTGATCTTTAATTCTGGAGTATGAAACTGATTCGAATGCAATAACCATATTTTCTTCCTGTGCAACTGTATAAAAATGGTTTCACTGTTAAAATCATGCAACGGAACGTCACGTCCTAGTAGATTACATTGTTGCAATAATGTAATACAGTATTATGTAGAGTGACACTCGTGGTGATGACATCTTTAATTTATACAACGTAATAACTCTATGAGAATTAGATTTTAATCAGGACAACACGTGAATAGTATTACAACGATTAACTTTACGCGATTTAGTTAATTCAGTATATATGTACACTTGATAAGTTGTTTATATATATATATATATATATAAACAACTTATTAAGAATCTAAATATAAAAGTTCTTTCTACGTGTAAAACGATAAAGAAGATTAGAGAATGATAAATTTTAGATACCGTTCTTGTATCTCCTCGAAATTGATGGTTTTCGAAATAATCTTTGTAATTTCTACGTTTATTAAATATCTGTTGTTTTTATTGCATACTTTTCCGACACTCCTTATAGAAATCATTCTGTCAGTGTGTTATATCTTGTGTGTTATATTTGTCAGATACTTCCGTAGTAAACTTACTACTATACAGAATTGACAATCTGAAATTGCCGTGTGTGATCGGCACTTAATAATAAGGCGTATTATCGTAAGGTATTCCTTTCCAAAATATACATTGTGTGTTGCTTTATATACTTATTAAAGTAAAACATCTGACACGTACATACCTCACAATTTCGGAAATGAAACGTCGCTGAAGAAAGGTATGTTACAAAGGGAAACAAGCATATTTAATTGTATTCAATTATTGTTCCTAGAGATATATACCGTGCTGCATTATTAATGATATATATACATATAATCGATTTATAAAAGTAAAATTGGAAGGAGGAGATAAAAGGGGAAAAATTAATACATTCATAGACTTTAGAAAAATCAACCACTTACATCTCTTTTTCTCTATATGTTTGGGCGTTTCTTTCGCTCATTGGGATATATACAGTTCTGGTTTCCTCCAATATGGCATACATTCGCCAAAGCATTTCTCTCTTTCATCTGTGATAAATTTTTCTTTAATCTGAACCAATTTGAATACGTTATCGCTGTATAACAAGTAACCGAATGTATTTCGCAGAGATGCGAAAATTTATCATAAGTTTCCTTACCTCAATTGGGGATGCGTTTAGTCTTCAGTGTTTACACTTTATACGGCGAAGGGGAACTATCGCGAACTATTACGAATACTCTTTGAAATGTGTATATATATAAAAAAAAAGCATTGGTAACATATTATACAAATATATTTGACGTATTAGAGAATTAGCTTGAAACATCGCTTGAGAATGTTGCATTTGTTACATAATGAACAAGCTAAAGAAAGCGGAATATCGCTAATCAAAACAGTCGAGGAGGCTGAAAAATTGTGAATTTCTCTGTTGGGTTCCCTTTATTAGAAAAGTGAAAATAAAATATCTTTGTTTTACATTGCTTAATCGGTTGATACTTCGATGCGTTATACAGTTGATTAATATCCCAATTTTTAATCGAGTTTTCTCAAACACGTCATATATACGTTGATAAATTTCAGCATGACAGATCTTACAGTCACATCTTACAGTCTTAGCGTTGGAAGTGTTTGCGACGTTATATAGATCAATAAAGACACTTAAAATACGTAGAAAAATTTCCGTTTACAGAATAGTATCATAAGTATGTCGCTAGTATACTATAACATAAATCTAAAGCTACTGTGATAAAGATTATTCTGTAATAACGAACTTATCATCTATTGATATTAATGTATTATTTATCCGCGAATTAGCAACATGTAATTATTTTTCGTACAATATTATATGTAAGATCTTTTGTTGTCGAGTGTCTCTTCTTCTTTTAATCAGGATCTATATTGTTCTATAAGTTTAAGTAAGTACACGGCAATGTAAATCAACTTAGATCCAGCACTTCGATTCGCACTCTTTCAATTTTGATAACACATATTTACATTTTATTATTCTAGTATTGCTCTGAGAACCGTTTATAATATATTTTATTAAGTAATATTTTTAATGTTCCTGCATCAGTTTTACTGTGTTTACCGCCGAATATTCAGAGGTACATGTGAATTAAGAAGAAATCTTATACTGAATAAAATATTATACTGAACATTATTCTGGAAGGAGGGGGGGGGGGATTAAAACATTTAATTTTCAAAAGAAACAGGCCTTACACGCAAGAGCACAAGAGAGACTTACACTTGTAATTTAGTTTCATAATGATTTCTCGTGATATAAAGCTATACTTTCGAAAGGATGAACACTTTGTCCAAACAGTTCTGAATTATTATGGTACCAAGTATAATAGCTGATGAGTTTTTGAGCACAATATTTTTACATTTATCCAAAAAGTCATACGATAGCAGGATTTATAATCACATATTAATGTAGCATTTCTAACATTGATTACGATATTATCTCGAATATCGCTTTGATACTAGCTGATATCATGCTGTGTGCTAATATTAAGTATGGATTATAAATCCTGTTTTATATCATATTATTATTATAAGGATATACGTCGTAATATATTACAAAAACTATTCAAGAATAAATGTGTTCAATTTGTTGTATACACGCACTTTGTACATCTGTTTTGTTAAGATAATTATGCATCATTTCTACATGTTTATTAATCTCTTTGTACTTAAGTGTTATAAATTATACTTGTATAAGATGAGAATATTACAAACTATTCACTGTATCAAAAATCAATATTCTCTAATAAAGTTAAATCTCAAAGTTCCATATTCAGGCGTTTCCTTCTTTAAGCATATTTCTAATAAACGAATTAAAAGGTCAAAAAATTTTTATGTTTTAATAACTTGTTATTAATTTTCTTACGGAATTAACATTGTAGCTCAAAGTGGGTTGTTTACAATAAATCCTTCAAACTTACCCTTATAACTATTTTACCAAATTTACATATATTTTTGAATTTCTTTTCCTCTACAATACATATGTGGCGGTTGAGCTTCGCGCGCTATCGCCGGCGGCGCCAGAGCAGCCTCTAGCCGGAGAAAACTGTCTGCCTTGTAAGTAAAAGGACGATCCTGCAGGCAACTCACTTTTTAGTAGGAGTTTCTACAGTTTATCTCTCAGTTTAGATTGTGATTGAAAGTTTTTGGCGTAGAGTAATACTAGGTTGTTCTTCTGAGTTATAAACCAACACCGTCTATGTCACGATCGCGTTGAACGGCCGCTGATACGTCCGGTATTAGCGGTCGCCTCGCGCCACGTGTTTCGCCTAATTAGCCGGAAGAGTAAAATCTTAAAGATGGGGAAAACTCAAAAAAGAGAAGAAAAGAGGAGGAAACCAGCAATGATTCAGTTTCCGATATGTTAGAAGTTAACAACTACGCATCTCATGCTTCTCCGAGCCCACCTAGATTTCATCACGCGTCTAAGATGAGGAAGGCGGAAGTGAACGAGATTCTCCGTCGATAAATCGGAACAGTTCGAACCTGCAAGTTCAGGACAAGTATGACGATATATATAGCAAGG